CACGGTCCGTCAAATGAACCGGGGGAGTTTCTTCTTCCAAGAAAGGGTCCTTCAAAAGAAACTTAAAAGACACGTATTGTTACCAAGTTATAATCGTGTATTCTTGATCGTGACGTTCTTTCGAAAAGAACTCCAATCGCCTGTTTTTCAAGACTTAGAGTTAATCAATGAGGCATGTATTGCAATGTTCTGCGCCAGGGGTATAACAGTTTATCGTCGTATAATTTAACAAATCGGTGTAATTGGGGCGTTTGCAGATTAATTAATTTAACAACTTGTAGAAATTACATTTATAATTGTGAATTATGGACTCCGTGGTTAACTGAGCTATATTTTTGGGTTACAATTTCTCCGGTTACGTTTGTTTCACTTGTTTAAAACAAATGAAGCCATGCAGATCATCGTATTTATATTATTTTAAACTTTTCGCGTCATCAGGTTTCCTTCCTGCCCCCTTAACTTTGTCGATTTCATTCAAGTCGCATGACACAAGCCACGTTTAAAAGACTAGGTGGTTATTTTTAAGTTATCGGGTATGATTCAAAAATCAAAGGGTAAATATTAACATACAACTAAAAATAATATTATCTTATTCATCAAATAATATCTATTTTGGATTTCAAATTGAAAATTATAGTTGATCAAAGAAAGTAAGTAAAATCAATGTCTCTCAAATCTACAATACCCAGTCTAGATGGTTGGGTTAAAGGGTTTCTCCCTCTAAAGTGCAACATTGTCATATATTTACGGAGATTACGTACCCTGTCACGTAGAAGTGATGGCATGTGGGGGGCCAACTTCCTTTCTCAGGAATGAAGTGAACTGGTAGTCACGTGATCTACTATCTTTAACATCCGTTCTTACGTCATATCCTCACCACACAGCATCATGCACTGCCCTACAAAGTTAAGTCTTACGACGCTTCCGGCTCCTCACTATTGTTGTGTCGCCTTACTTACCTTTAGTGCTAGGTACTAGCCCCCACGTCATCACTACAAAATAGGCTTACGACTTATAGTTGTCGTATCAATATCGCGTATCTACTATCTAGTTATGCTATCTTCTGAGCTGTGACGTGCTTTGTTTAGTCAATATTTAATGAGGGACGTCATGCTGCGTGAAGTAATTAATGTCTGTATTTTGAACTATATAAGGGAGGTTCGAAGCCACAAAAGGTTGTGAATCTAATTTTCCTCTCTATCATTATTGATCTAATTGTTTTAGTTTAGGGTGTTGTTAATGTATCATTTCTGTTTTGAAATTTTCCGATTGAAGAGTATAAAAGGGAAACATGGAAAAACTAATTTATGTTAACGGAATTGATAATCGGGTCGAAAGTATATGGTCAAGTTCGGAGACAACCTGTACATAAAATCAGTCACTAATTACATTTATTTCACTGCCATATACGGTAAAATTAATTATAATTCCTCTGAAAGTCCAAGGGGTACAGGCTCTTCAGATATTATACTCCTAACCTTTCTATAATGATATCTGGGTTCAAAATTTAAATAACTCAACCTTGGTGGAGACAGTGGCCACCTGAAAATTACAAAAATAAAGGAGCTGTAAATCACTTATGAAAAAAATATTTACTTCAAATTTCACAATTTAAAGTTACGTAAGACAGGTGGGTACTCAAAAAGTGCCGGTTGAGCAGGTTTGTCTGCTCAACACAGGTGGAGCAGCACACTGACTACATGAGCTAATATAAGTGACTAGAACTAACCCTCTCATGCTTTTTAATTGCTCCAAAGTCCTAATATTTAATATTATGGGTTATACTAATCATATTTCATAGAATAGGATCCTCAGAATCGGCTCAACCGAGGTGGAGACAGCATAACATGCAGTTCAAAATCTGTTATTCTGTAGTTTAGGAGCTGTAGAGTGACTGTGGCAGTCCATTTGCAATACCAATGATTCTAAATCATCTACCAACTCATATTACAAGGCATCCTTGCTGAAAAGTACACTCAACATAGGTGGAGACTCAAATTTGGCAAATTTGGGCGTAAATTTGACCTCAGAAGTCAAGGTTCTCCACCGCGGTTGAGTGGTTGATGGCTAGTTTGATGACTTGTATACATGCTAAAGGGTCACCCAATGTTATTTCTTCCAGAAATCAACTGCCAAAGCTCAACTCAACCCGGTGGGGCCAGTTTTAATGCATTTTTAATGTTTTAATGTTTAATCAACAATTTCTCCACCTTGTTGAGCACCTTTTCACAACTATGATAGTTTTTTCATTTGCTAGAACACTTTGCTTTAAGACAGAAGGGGTAACAGTTTTATGATCACCTACAGTAGCAGTTAACAGAGCAGATTAGAATTAGTGATAAAACCAATGAATTTAGGCATGTTTGACGGGCTTTTTACTGTTTCTTAATGAAAGATCTCCACCCTGTTGAGCGTCAATGGCAAAAACAAAATTTAACGGGAAGTAGAAAAGGCCGAGACGCAACTTTCTAGCTAACCTAGAACTCTCTAAACCTTTCTCCACCCCTGGTTGAGCAGCTTTGAAAAGTGCATTTAATTTCTCCACCTCGGTTGAGCACTTAAATAAAATATTGATAAAACCATCAGATTGCAAATTTGATGTAGTTTGTGTTACCAATAACCTTTTCCACCTTAATCAAAAGTTTCTTCAACCAGAGCCAGTCTCCACCTTAAATCTCCACCTTTTAAGGGTTTGTTTAATACCACCTGTATCTGCTCAACCATTCAACCTTTTAATTTTATTTTTTTACTCAGAGAAAGTCCTGAAAAATGTCTTGTCAGCCATATAATCAGGGAGTTTCAGTCTGTGTTGAGCTGGCTCCACCACACACTTCTAAAAAAGTAAAAAATGTACAGGTTGTCTCCGAACTTGACCATATATTCAGTTTGCAATTGAGGCTTTAGGCGGGTAACCTGTCCAGAACTTGTGTCTGTATAATATATTTGTTAACTCGTTTATCATCGCCCTTTCATATCATTTAAAAAATTCATCCTGGGATTTTTTCTTCCGACATTTCCAAGATATGTTATGATATATCCTTGATAGCTTTTTGTGTTTAGTGTTGCTAGACGATATTGTGGTCGGAGTAGATTCGTGTTTTTTGTTAAACGCTTTAATATTTCTCTAGACGTTTCTTGTTCCGCAAGTTGCTTTGCACGGATTTGTAAATAAGATTTAAGCCATGGGGTGGTAACTAGAAAATGCCACCTAGTAAAAGAGATATACACATATATATTGATGAGGGAGCAGATAATTAATACACTTTGCATGGTCTAAATCTGGAGGTGATGCTGCAGTGATTTGATTAATCTCTGAATATCTTGATTGATCAGGGATAAAGTTACACCCAACACTACAAGCGGTATGGTCTATCCTCTAACCTCTCAGTTTTTTACTGCTTTAACTGCTGTTTTGAAGGGCTTGGTCAAATGAAATCAAATCTAGAATAATGACATAAACATCGTCATCACTTCTTTAAACAGTCGTCCTATATTCTGTGTTAATAAATCAATGATCTAACGCCTACTTTTTAATGACAACATAGATTAAATTCCTCCCCTTTTTGTAGGAAAGATGTCAATTTTTATGTGTAATTGTTAGTGTTAGAGGTTTTGTAATTTTACCCTCAAGGAGGATTACATTTTAAATTTTTAAGTCAAGTTTGATCGAACTATAAAAACATTATAAACTTGATCTGATCTGTAGAATATAATTATTGTAGTGAAGAGCATTGCAAAATGATGCCCTAATACACGTCTCCCATGACGATAGTGTTAAACCTGTCCAATGTCCGAGCCCAGCTCCACCTCTCACCGAAGTAACACACCTCCCTCCACAACACCTTTTAACATCCATGTCACATCATGTGGTTATTCCCTAATGAGATTTACAAGTCTCAGTGCCTCACCCCAGCAGGTGTCCTAGAAATAAGTAATAAGTATTGAATCCCTGATTAACGAATACGTAATCCTCGTATTGAACTGATATAATCCGTGTATATTTAATTATCAAACCATACCCCCACCTATCTGTTTTAAATTAATCTTGTTATCTATCTGTCATGGTGTTCGTACGTTGAGGCTGGTCCTAGGCTCACCCTCAATTTTAGACGCTAAGGACCTCCATATTTTAAATACTGCTGTTGCATAATGGTCGTTTTGTCCCCCGTTTTTACTTTCCAGAGAATTGTTGAGGGTTGAGAATGCAATCTGAACTCTCCCAATTCTCATTCCCTTGGGATTGGCGAGTATCTATATTTTGTCTGAATACACGTAAACAGTTCCTGAGTGATTTAATCACAGTTTTTAAAGTTTTCTACTTACAGGGTTGACCCTGGCCAGTACTTTGTTAGGCGCTACTTTCTTTTTTAAACAGATATATCAGTAGTCCAGGACTAGACAGCGGTATTGTAACGAAAAACAGTGAATGATTGCGTCGTCTGGACGTGGGGACCGGCTCATTGTACATTACATTGGTGCCTTCTCAATACTTTCAGACTTAGTTAAAATGTTAGGTAAAACGAATATCGACTTGAAATATAAACTAATCTTTTAAAATGTATCCAAATGTGCTAACTTCAAGCTAGAACTCAAGAATTAACACCGAATTTCTCTCAAATGTTAAAATACGTGTCGGCAAAGATTCCATAACCTTTGTGCAAGGAATCAATATCGAATATTGAATATTGAAACTTTATGTGTTTTATAAACCACTGAGCTATTTATAGAAACTAAACCAACTGGAGGATATATTATGAATAATAACTATGCCGTTATATTAGATTGACCTACAGTCATATAACCATCTAAAAACGTATCTTTTATAAAATAATTTCACGTAGGATAATCTCCCCACGACTCTCGACCACACACTACACATTGCTCGCACGTGTGCGCGGCACAATACTGGGACTTCTGACTATGACAGATGACAGACGACCTACTGACACATGTTAACGTCATGTTCCAACCTCATTTCAACCGTTCTCCCCCCTAGTAGAATGCTCTTCTTTACCTCGCCTCCTCACGTAGTTGCGTCACTGCTTCTCCTAGCTGCGCTGCTATCCATCGCCGCTTCGCAAGCCGCCTCTCAGTGCGATCTCGAGAATATATGTGAGTATTATACTTTATTTGTTTATCGGTCTGATTTGTTAATATATGAATCACGAGAATTGCTAGATTCCTTCCTGAATCTTAGTTATTAATTCAATAATTCGTAAATTGATATAACTTTGTCCGCCTATAAGTCCGCCTGCAAGTCATCTCAGTTTGTAATAGATTTGCCGGTGAACGCACTCAGTTTAATTTAAGTCTATGAGAAGTGAATGATACTGTCCATAAATCGACCAGGAATAGGATCTTTGTAGGCGCTGGGGCCATGGCGAGGGAACAAGACTTAACAGAAAAACCTGTGACGAACATTTTGGATTGGATTGGCCCGTCGAGTAAATTAGAAACACCAGGAAGAAATTTTGAAGAAAAGAATAGCTTGAATTATGAGCATTATATATTAAGAGTCGTTAATGATAACCAAAGAATGTTTGGCTATGAATTGTCACGGCAGTCAATATGATAAATCTTGCCTAACTGATTTAATGAAAATCCTTTATATACTGTGGATATCTTCTGTATCAACAGTACCATAGCTTTATTGGGGGGAATGCAACGTCAATTAATGTCAGTATTCCATAAAAACCCCAAACTGACATTGACATTAATTGACATTAATTGACATTAATTGACATTAATTGACATTAATTGACATTTATTGACATTAATTGACATTAATTGACATTAATATGTCTTGAAATTTGAGATTATCATTATTCGATAAATATTCAAGATATTCACGTCTATGTAAGTTAGACCGGTTCAAAAAAACAAAATGTCCTTGAATAATTATGAGTATGTTCTTATCTGTTGATCCTTAGGTTCAAAGACCACCAAAAAAAATTTCAGCTTCCAACTCTTCCATCTTCGGTCCCCACCGGCCACGCCCATATTTTATTGGTTTCTTATACAGGTAAAATATTTAGAATCGGCGTTTTTAGTATGAAGGAGTAATGTTAGCTGTTTAAGATTCGTTATTCAAATATAAATGTCATGAAGGCATTTCGTTTAATGTGGGTTTTAAGTTCTGATGATGTTGAGAACCACGCCCTTGGATGGCCACGTCCATTTAAGAAAATTAAATTTCGGGAAACCGTATTATTTTAGTTTTATTGTTTAATGATCTGAATTTTTTTCACATTTCACATTTCTATATGTGATAGTAGTGAATAAATTGATGATATAAACGTTCTAAAGTGCTAACAATATGGTAGAACTACATAATCTCTGGTCGAAAAATATCGTGTCAATTAATGTCAGTATTCCAAAATTTTGCAAAACTGACATTGACATTAATTGACATTAATTGACATTAATTGACATTAATTGACATTAATTGACATTAATTGACATTAATTGACGTTGCATTCCCCCCGCTTTATTTCATTACTGTCCGAAGGGAATCAAATTCCGTGTCTCTCACATAAAAGCTAATAAGTCAGTAATATCATTATAATTAATAACACTTGTGTGTCATTTTTCGTAACATTCCGATTCCTGCAAGGTACAAACAAATTGTCCTTGACCTAACTAGGAAATAGGAATGAAGTGCTGTAATTCTTTAACATTCCCCACAAACGTGCCGTACTTATCCTTTGTTACAATAACATACTAAAACTTAATGATCAGATAGTACTGCTGTAAAATATTTTATAACTGTAAGATATTTTAGATAACAGATGCAGATTTATCATAATATTAATGTTTCTTAAAGTTATGTTCATGTTATCTTTAAACAAAAAATAATGTCTGTATTATACGTTAGTAAATATTGGTGATCTGCGTTTTACTATTTTATAATTTTGGCCGTTTTTGTATTACATATCCCAGGAATCTCTACTTGAAGTTGAACTGAAAATGTTTCAGATATGTTGGGAGACATTGCAATACCATCAGTAGTGGACAGTGAGCCTATGTTTGCAGACGACTATAGTAAGGTAATAATATATTTATTATTTAATAACTTTTGCAAGTTACAAATAAAGCTATATAATTTGAAGTTATTGATCTTATTGATTTAAGTAGCTGAAATCCCTTCAAGTATCAATAATTGCCCAATACAAGATTAACCTTATAATATCATATGTAATACCTATAAGTTGCATCCGGATATCCTACACCTGAAACCGCCACAAATATCCCTCTTCACATGCACTTCACGTGTTATAATCCTGATATGTTGGAAGCAGTACGGGCCACATATTTGCCAGTGAGTGTCCGTGCCAGTCCTCTGTGACAGGAGCACAGCGAGACACTTCTGCAGACAGCCCCACATTCCGCACGCTAGATAATATCTCCCGCTACATTCCGTGCACAGGACCTTATTTTGATTCCTGATAATGATTAATGACTTCGACTCTCTCGAATGTTCTCTCATGATCCCACCACACGCTTCCTAATCCCCAGATACTATCTAGTACGACAATTGACAACGCGTGTTTCTCCCCCAGATCCTATCTCGTGTTACCATGACAACACGTTTTATCCCCGGATGTTATGTCGTGTTACCATGACTACACTTGTTTTTCCACAGATCCTAGGTATCCGGTGTTACCATGTCAACACTTTCTTTCAAGATCATTTTACCAAGATTTATTTTGACAAATCTCTTCCCCCAGATCCTATCCCATGAGGAGCAGGTATTAGAAAGCAGATCTCGGCGGAAAAGGGCGGCGGTAAAGGATAGGAGCCGGATATGGCCTAATAATGTCATACCTTACATTATAGATAACGATTTCCAAGGTAGGATATGAATAGTGTAATTATATGTTTTTTTTCTATTGCAACCAGATTGATTCAACATAATATATGCAGCCGGAGCCGATGTAATAAATTTATAAATTTAGTGAATCAAACATTCGTCTTTAACTTAGTCTTTAACATATGCTTTAATAATCGTTCCAGGGAATGGTTCATTGTTTTCACTGGTGGATCATGTCTCAAAAATAACATAGGAGAAAATATTATCATCTTTTCCACAGAATGTTGATTAAATCAGTATGAATGAATATGTTGTGGAACATACAGCCAGTTTTTTCTACTTTTAGAAGATAAGAATTCTCCCTACGAATCGACGATTAAATTGGTAAAGTATGTGTAAATTAGTAATTACCAAATCTCTTTTCCCTTCAGAACATAGTGTAGCCCTGTTACAACGTGCCATGCAAGTTTGGGCTGAAAATACGTGTATACGGTTTATACCCAGAACAACCGAACACGATTATCTTCAGATCAAGTCAGGTCGTAGGTACGTACCTGATTTTAAATGTAGAAATGTTTACTTACCAGATTGAAAGGTAGCAATATAAATCTCATTTCAAAGATTCAATCTTACTGTCTCCCTATATTAGAAGGGTTTTAAATCGTTTTAAGTGTTAAATCATTGTGAGCGGGAGACTTCTGGATCGTAGGGTAAATTGTGTTAGCCTGTTAGTGATGATGGAGGTGATTTCGTTAGCGTCCTATATCTAGAATTATAGGATTATACAATTATTTGAGAAGGAATTTAATTTACACCTCGCTGTGGAATTGTTCTGGTTTACCGTACTCAATATTATTGTCTGCTGATGAGAGCAAGTAAAACTAAATTACTCATTAAATTACATACCTTAAATACATTACATATTCCAAATATGTACATATCCTAGTATTCCTCTCATACACTGCATAATATCCAGTATATTATGTACAATATCCCGCCAGTACTTAGGAAGTAAACTGTATAGTATGAGGTTCGGACAGTAAAAAAGTACCGAATGTATTTATGGCTCCCTGGAGTAGGAAACAATACGGATGCCCAATACGTAATGCCCTTAAACCCTATTTATTGAAATTTTAGTAAGCTTCGATTTCCAATTCTCAGCGGTAACGGATGGTTGTTTGTATCCGAGATACAAATCCCAGATAATACATCTGTCTTCTCCCTTGTATCTTTGTATGCGGAACCAAAAAAGCAAAGAGTGAGGTTCCGCTAAAGTCCTGTTACATTTCAGGTGTTGTTCATATGTGGGTAGAACCAGAGAGAAAGAGTGAAGTTCCACTAAAGTTCCTGTTACATTTCAGGTGTTGTTCATATGTGGGTAGACAGAAACGAGGCGCCCAGAAGATGGCCCTTGACCACGGGTGTTTGATTCACGGTATATTGCTCCACGAACTTGGTCACGTCATAGGGTTCTGGCACGAACAGAATAGACCTGACAGAGACGATTATATACAAGTTATACCTAATTACCATGTAAGTCGACATTATCGTATGTTTTAGCATATTTGTAATGTTTTTGAGTAAACATGGTTGTGCTCGGACCTTAATATTAAAATATTGAGGTCGAGTTTTCGGCTCTTTTTTCTAAATCTTGTATAATCTTCAATTTTGTTTTATTCCCTCTATCTATCAACAAAAAGTCGAAGTTGGAGAAAGACAGTTTTCCAGAACTCAAACCCCATTTTCAGGAATCAGTGAGCTATAATTTCGATAAGAGGAATGAGAGTGAGGTAGACAGTTACGGGGTTGAGTATGATTACGACAGTATCATGCACTACGGAGAGACCTTCTTCAGTATCAACGGCAAGAGCACCACACTGAAGCCCCTTAAAGAGGGTGTGGAGATAGGGCAGAGGAAGGGACTCTCTCCTCTGGATATCCTGCAGGCTAACCGACTTTACATGTGTCGTGAGTATTATTCGGTTATATTTAGTCAGAACTGTTCATTGCTGATATTGGTCTTGCAGTTGCTATCATAATCTTTATACTGGTTCATTCCTAACACTTGCTCTTATACGGCTTTTTATTCCGCGATCTTGCTTCTGTACTGGCTTTACTATTTTTATCGTGTAGACTATGTTAATTTCCAATGCCAGGCGCATCTCTCTCTTTAATTTATTTTCTAGACAATTTAATTTTATAGAGTAGACTCAATGGGAAAAATTAATCGCGTCGATTATCAGTTGCTAGTAAATACGAAATAGTTATCGATTGGCGATATATTATATAAATGAGTAAATTTAATGGGCATATTATATGACAAATTGATGATCGTTAATTTTTACTCACGTACTCAGTGCTCACGTACAGTATGGCGCACAAGTGTGCAGGATGCAGGTTAGCTACGTTATCACATCCTTATACAGGGCTTATAGGGTTTTGTGAGAAACTTGACAGGTTATTTGAGACTGGGAGGCTACAGATATTTGTTTTACTAATTAAAGTTGTCAAAGAAAAAGTTGTTCTTATTTTTCGTAGACCGTGGTAAAAAAGTGGTAATTGTGGATTTTGCTGACGTAGGAAATTTTGAGAACTTTCTGTAGACCAGTTTCCGTTGAAATCGCTTTGTTGCGAATTATTTCAGACAAAAATATGTATTGGACTGTACTAATGGGAAACGGGATCATATGAACCTCTCCATACCGGGTTTTTTAATACCTGCACTTTTTGTTTCCCCGAGAGGCCCGTTATATGGAGGTTTCACTGTAGGGAAATACAGTATACAGTCCTTAGTATAATGAACTTAGGGGGTAAAAGTGCATAATATTATTATTATATTATACTTTATATCTAGTTAAAGGTATTTCAGTATATATTGCTTCCAACAGTGTCACGTCAGTGCACTGATCCGTGCTTATTAATGTTTGTAAAAAACAGTACGTGTTTTATCGAATCCATCTAGCAAAATATAGAAACTATGAAACAAAAGTTGTTACTTTGCAGTCAGCTAGAGGAATGTCTGCGCAGATTAATCAATAAATATGAAATCATGAAATATTCAGGTGAACTTTTTCTTAGGACTAAGGAGGAGAAATAACGGAAATTGTTACAATTTTCCTTTCAACAGTAAAAGCGGTGCCAAAAAAGGATAAGAAGCACGCTCAGCCTCACTCATATCACCACCATTATCCAGAGTCCAGACAGTCAACTGGGCACTAGGAACACAGTCCCTGTAAGGGACATTGTAATATGTTTGCCGCTGGAGTGTAGATTTGTCACGACAAGCATTGTATATTCTGAGCTAAAACTACTCGTTAGTAACAACTCTAGTTACACTCGCCAGTGAGGATGTTTGTTTACAATCCTCCTCACGTGATTTATTTTCAGAGGAAGACTGCAGTTGGACATACAACGCGTCAGAAAGTGCTGGAAGTTTCCACAGCATGAACTATCCTGAAAACTACCCCGCTAAGATTGACTGTATCACACGAATATTCGCTACTGAGGGTCAAGTTATACGGCTTAACTTCGAGACTATCAATATTGAACATCACGCTGATTGCACCTACGACTCTCTGGAGGTTGGTGCTTTTTTAGATAACTATAGCAGGACTCACCTTTTACAGGACTCACCTTTCACAGGACTCGCCTTTCACAGGACTAATATTTCACAGGACTCACCTTTCACAGGGCTCACCTTTCACAGAACTCACCTTTCACAGGACTCACCTTTCACAGGGCTCACCTTTCACAGGACTCACCTTTCACAGGACTAATATTTCACAGGACTCACCTTTTACAGGACTCACCTTTCACAGGACTCACCTTTCACAGGACTAATATTTCACAGGACTCACCTTTCACAGGGCTCACCTTTCACAGGACTCACCTTTCACGGGACTCACCTTTCACGGGACTCACCTTCACAGGTCTCACCTTCACAGGACTCACCTTTCACGTGTCTCACCTTCACCGGACTCACTTTCACCGGACTCACCTTCACAGGAATCACCTTTCACAGGACTCACCTTCACAAGACTCACCTTCACAGGACTCACCTTTTACGGGAATAGTTTAAAAAAAATTGTATTCGACAAATATTTTTCATCTGCTAGGCTATCGAATGTTCCTTATTAATTATTCAAATTAAAAGTTGGGAGTAAATTTCAATAGTAAAATACCAAGTCAGGTACAATAAAACCCTACCGCGCCCCCACAAATATGTAAATATTTAGATTGGCTAGTCCTGGTTATTGATTTGTTGGCCAGTCCTGCACTAACTTAGACAGGGGCTGCAGGTTTCTGCATGTACAGTGCAGTGCTGCAGGCTTATTACATTACACTATCACATCACGTCATGTACTCTGAAGGTGCATAACAATCAAAGTGACTAGACTAGCACATAGACTCCCAGAGTTACGTTTTTACAGAAATTTAATTAGAAATTACTCGGACTTTATATTGTTTACCGTTAACTGATAAGAGAGGGCTCTGAGTTGTAATTACCAGAGTATCACACACCGCATATCATCTAATTTACCTTGTTTATCTAATCGTACTCGTCTTTGTTCTGCAAAAAAGCATAGTATTAAACCTATCACATTGCTATTTTAGGAAGAAAGTTAAAAAGCTCCGTTTCGATTAGTTTGCGAAATTTAATAGGTTGTCTACAATTTTTGGCATGGCACGAACCCAACATTTTCGTCTTTAACGGCATTACCGTAATTTTATCTAGGTGGCGATTCTGTTGCTATATCACGAATCATGATCTCCAATGATTTGATGATCATTTTTACCTAGCACTGCAATCTCCTTACATCTTGACTGAATAACGTGAATATACCGCTATTCACTGTTACTTACACAAAAGAAACTGACATAATCTATTTATATAGGCTTCATTTTGAGTGTAACAGCATTATAGAGACCCTATTTATAAACTGCTCCAAGATGAAAATAATGTTTTTTCATCGTATTTCAATTTTTCTCAAAAATCTATAAAAAAATCTCAAAAATCTATACCACACTTATTTTGCCTCACTTACCCTCATTTAACCTCACTAACTCCAGGTACGAGATGGGGACCTGCCCACATCCCCTCTTTTAGGCAGGTTCTGTGGTAATCTACCTCCAAACAACTTCACCAGTACCGGACCCAACCTCTGGGTAAAGTTCCTCTCTGACTCCAGTGTCAGTAAGCAGGGATTCTTCGCTCACTTCGTCGCTGTCGGTGAGTCTCGTTTAGCAAAAACCTAGTGTGTTGTGGACTTCAATCCGCTACACACAAAGTGGCTTATAATACAGATTATCTTGATAATTATTAGTTAACATTTAAATGTTGCAAAGCAGATTAAACAACAAACGAGATGTTAAGTTCTTCGTTAAAGTCATTATATCATCAGTATTTTCATCAGCATCTAGATAAAGGTTTGATTAGCTCCACTGTTAGAGGTTTTAAAGCTCTGTCCTTAGTCCTTATTGTATGCTGAAAGTTAAATTCGTATTACGAATTACCTTTTAACTCCAGATTTAACTATTTAACAGAAAACTAGTGACTACTTTTCGCTTTTGTAAACATTTAGAACTTTTTCCAGAAATTATTCTTCTAACGCCTCATTTGTAATTTTTCTTTAAAGCTGTTCATTTTCCCTGGTTTCTGGACACTTGTGGTGCCTCAGAAACCCCATTTTAAGTTTAAAATAAGCTGTTCTTTACGACTTAACTGTGGAATAATAGTTGATAGAGGAGGTAAAATAAAATGCAACATTTTCTTCGGAATCTTAGTCGTCGGTGTTTAATGTAAATGATTTCTGAACTTGATTGTATTTTGCATTTAAAAAATTCATAATAATAATAATTTATGTTGTAATATTATCTCCCTGGCACATTTCCAAATTCCATGATTCGTATTCCCCTAAAAGGTCTATTTTTAGATGAACCTCACAAGACAAGTTCTTAGTTTCATATTTTATCGTGAGAAAGTATTTTTTTAAACATCATCAGCTGCAAATAATCGATCTCACATATTTTCTTTAAGCACTATAATATAGAGTGAACAAGGAATGATTGGTAGCCGCGGATTGAGTTAACTAAAAGCATAAGTTTGATTATTTACTTTCATAAATTCTTTAGTATGATCAGTAAATTCTACACTTTCAATATAGTACCGTCAGTAAATTGCTCGGTTAAACTTTAGGAACAGTAAGTTTAAGTAAAAACTATTAAAATATTGCAACCAAATAAAAGCTGTCCTTCTTATCAAGTCATAGTCCCTTATGTTACTTATAGCATAAGTTATTCAGATATATTTTGTACGTATGGCTGATGACTAGTGGAGTAGTGGAATGTAACTAATAACTTTGTGTTATTTGCATTATAAATAATAATATGTAATATGATAGACACGTCGTGCTCAGACTTTCGTTTTTAGGATTAAATGGAGATGGCTTGAACAACGAAAGTGAGTAGAAGTCGATTTTATAGAAAAATTCCGCCAAAATCAAATCAATTTTCTTTCTAAAACAATTGTGATTTTATCAATTAATTACACATTCGCTTAGAAAATTCGCCTCGAACAGTAATTTAAGCCATAGCAACTGAATTCCTTAAACCTTGATCATTTAATTAATTATAATAATCTGTAATAATCTGTAAATTCTTGTAAATTCGATTAAAATTCTTCTTTATTTAACTTAAAAGTGTATAGAGTCAGCTAGCAGGGCTTGAATAATATAAATAACAAGATGATATCGCTTACTAAGTAGGTTCGTTAACCTTTCTCATTGAGTGCGCCTTCTAAAACTATGTAATTGATCTCGCCCTTATTTCGACTAATATAAATAAGCGAATAGATTTAATTTGTTTTATACAGAAATATGTTTCTATCGTAATGCTCCAGCAAGGCTCAGTATAAGTGCAAGTGGTTGGTATCTAAAAGTTATTGGAGCCGAAAAACTCCATACATATTCTGAAAATCGTTCTAAAGTTCCTTGGGGATCTAATCATATCTAAATTTAGCAACCAGCGATCCTTCCCGTATCTTACAGGCATTGTTACTACTCTACTACATATTCTTTCCTGGAACCCTCCTAGTTGGAGATAAGCCAAGTATTTAAATAATTTATAAGTGTTTTATTCAAAGTTAAAGTTTCTGGAATGATGGGATTTTCTTCGACCCCCCCCCCCCCCCCCCCCAATAAAGGTAAAAAGTAATAACTTTGCAAAGCAGATCATAGCGACAAAGGATTGATCTTGTGTGTTGTTGTCAAATGTCAAATTAAGTAGATTCCTCTATCAAGTTGTTAATTGATATTTAGTAGTTCGAGCCAGGAATGGTCGTGGTTATCTAAATATACAGCATCTGAAATGCTTCCTTATCCGTGAACTGCTTTGTCTTGACATTTTGTAACTATAGATTCCTCTATCAACATCCCATTTCCTATTGCTGGAATTCTTCAAGCCAGTTTATGGTTTCTATTTGGATCTGTTCAGGTTCAACCAAAAATTTCTAGTTTTTAAGGAATTTTGCCCCGGTTAAACAGCAAAGGTTTAAATATGCTGCTCCCCAAAATGACGGCAGGGTCCATTACTCCTTACGCAGGAATTTGCGTTCCTTTCCCTGTTCATGCTGGCACTGTGCACCACATTCCTTGATGCAATGTTCTCATCCGGTCACATCATGTCGGCACTGTCTCAACTTAAGGTGTAACTTAGGCTTCTCCAGACCTAGCTTCTACTGAATTCAGATGTAACTTAGGCTTCTCCAGACCTAGCTTCTACTGAATTTAGTTGCTGTTCCTACTACTTGTACTACTGATAACATAATAACATAATAACGAAATTTATATGAATTTAACTGTGACCTATATGGATTATGGAAATTGAGAAAAATGTCGAATATGATAATAAATTAAATATGATAAGATAATGATAATAATATGTAAGTATGTATAATAGACCCAAAATAGAAACAGACATTGTCAGCTCGGTAAAATATTACATCACGGGTAAAAATACCATATACATGTGAACCTAGAATACCTACCTTAATTACTTAATTAGTCCCATTACCTACCTTAATTTGTTTCAATTATACAAAGCGAACTATTCTTTGAGGAAAAACATAATAAAATTAGTTGGCACATATAAAATGTGCTCGTTTTCAATGAAAATTATTAAAAATCATAATTATACCCAGTTGGCACCAATAAAAGGTGCTTGTTTTTAATGAATAATATTGAACGTAACGCAGCTTCTTCTCCACAGACAAGGAAAAGAACCACGACACTAAAACTAACCCATGTGAACTGAAGATTTGCTCTCACGGATGTAAAGTTATAAACAATGCTGCTACCTGCACCTGTCCCCGTGGATACCACCTCAATCCCTCGGATGGTTATAGCTGCAGAGGTTGGTTAATGTTATATATCGTGATTTCTCTTGTGATTTGCTGGGTTTCTAAGATATTTTTATTGGCAGGGGGCCAGCTTTTACTGGAGATCAGGTTTGTACAGGTGTTGGGTTGTTTTGGAGAATAAGAAATGAGGTTTACCATGTCATCAGTCAAATTAGAGTAAACTTTACAGACGAGAAAACTGCTGGATATGAGCTAATCAATTGACCAGGGCGTAAATATTCCGCAAACAAATATTTCGTCGATATTCTTACAATCACAAGATTAAATACTTTATTGTAGGGAAACTTATAAAAGTTTAATAAAAAATAAATGGTTTTTGGTTAACTTAACATTTTTATCTTTTTCCCAGATCACAACGAATGTGAACACAACAACGGAGGATGCTCTCACATTTGTCTCAACTCTCAAGGCGCTTATACTTGCCACTGTCCGCGGGGCTACAACTTGGGAGACAACGGCCTTACTTGTATCGGTAAGTGTCTTTTTTTAACTATTCTATCGCTTTGGAGTTAACTCTAATTTTGTTAATCCGTCAAAACTGGCTTAGTTTCTATATTGATTGGCAAAAACGGCTAAATTTATTACGTTTAAGTCCTGCTCTAGACTCAATTCTAAAACAGTTTGAATCGTTGCTGAAACTGACGACGAAATTCATTGATTTTGTCTGAATTGACTGAGATTATTGAATTCTTGGCAAAAGTCGAGACTAAATGTTGGAGTGTCTGAGTAAATAAATGATTTTCACGCTTTCCCAGACCCTCTGGGAGCTTTCAATGGAACTTCCCGACGTATATCACCGCCTAGACTAAATTTATTAATTGTTCATTACCATGATCCGTGGTGAGGGTTAGAAAATTTTGTCTGTGATTTATTTTCTATGCTGGGCGACTAGACTTCGCCCGACCAATGAGGGGGAGCTCCTAAAATAGAAATATCTGATGAATTTAAAGATTTAACACATTTACATTTACAAACTTTATTACTTACCTTTAAGTAAGCTGAGTGAAGTAATCGATCTTTAGAGAATTATAACATCACGAGTGACGATAAAGCAATAAACCTGTACCTGGGTGTCTTGACTCCATGTCTTGACTCGTGGAGCGTCTAGACATTGCTTGTGTTGGAGTGATATCACCATAATGATATAACTGTAATTAAATCACTGTAATGGTAAATGGTATTTCTCGCTGTATTCAGGTATAAACAGGTCTGATATCACTATATCAGGTAAGTCTGATATTCATCACTATTTTGACCATATAACATCATCTCAGATATCGACGAGTGTGCTATAGGTCGAGCTCGATGTTCCTCTGTATGTATAAACACTCCTGGCAGCTACTACTGTGACTGTGAGCCCGGCTTCAGACTACACTACGACCACACCACCTGCCTGGGTAAGACATCTGATCTCATCACGTGACATCTGATCTCATCATCACGTGACATCTGATCCATTGCATGATAGATCGCATGATATTCGCACTACTTTCTCTCTTGATCTGTAACAGGCTTTGTCACCATACTGGATGTGTGAAGGAGATGGGAAATGAGGAAGACATGTAGCAAGATTATGTACAAGATCACGATCACGTACAGGATCACGTACAGGATCACGTAAGGATCACGTACAAGATCACGTACAAGATCACGTACAAGATCACGTACAGGATCACGTAAGGATCACGTACAAGATCACGTACAAGATCACGTACAGGATCACGTAAGGATCACGTACAAGATCACGTACAGGATCACGTAAGGATCACGGACAGGATCACGTACAGGATCACGTACAAGATCACGGACAGGATCACGGACAGGATCACGGACAGGATCACGGACAGGATCACGGACAGGATTGTGTGATAAGATTTTACCACAATGTCAAGGTCCCTGGCGTCAGTTCGGGTCAAGTAAGGGTTTCGTTATAAAATTTGAAAATATTTTGCAGTACGATCATCGCACCAAATCGTCTTTCCAAACTCTGTACTACAATAGTTGGAAGCTGCTACATACCAAAGCTTTGCCGCGTTGCATATGCTAAGTTTTAGCAAGAATTGCGCTACAAATGTAATCTGCCGAAAGGAATTGCAGCAGACGTCTTATTCAGTTGTAAAGCATAACATCTACATAGCATCTACATAGCATCTAAAAATTAGTATGCCCAACAAATACTTCGTTTTATAACGAATCACAGTAATGTAACCATTATTTGCCTGACAATAATTTAACGATTTAAAGTTAGCAGCCTAAACGCAGCTGGTCAGATCATCATAACAACTATACTACAGCCAACAAAAACTGGCCGCTTAATATTGGCTTTCTGGTTTAATTTGATTGCAATTTAAACCAGCCAGATTTTCGGGGTCGTGCAATAATTACTGTCTTGCTATTCTCTGCGGAACTCAGGAGTCAGGAGGGACAATTTTTTTAATTAGTACGAATGATATGATTACTATAATCGAGTGTAATTATAGTAATTATTATTATCGTATAATTATAATTGAGACGTTGGTAAAGAAGAACGTTTTTTAAAAAGATGAGTGTTTCAGAATGGGTTGAATGGGTGTTGAAAGTGTGTGAGTGTGCGTTTGTTGATATGTGTGTGTGACGGTGTGTGCGTGTATTTTATTTTCTTTGGGTTTGGTTTATTGCTTGATTTGCATGTTCTATATTGAACTGGTTAAACCAGATAAGCCGGGTGGCCTTCACGAGAAGTTTTGACCGCACTGGAACCTCAGAACCTGCTTAATTAACCTGCTGTAATAAGGTTTAGTTATGTGAACCTGCTTAATTAACCTGCTGTAATAAGGTTTAGTTATGTGAACCTGCTTAATTAACCTGTAAGGTTTCATAATATAAGGCAGGTTTGCTACTTAATTCACATGTATGTGTCGTGGAGTGCAGCACTATGTATAAAATATAAATAATCTAGAGTGTAATTTTACGGGCGTAAGTTTTGTTTGTTTTTACATCAGTGTGTACTATTATTAGACGAAGTGTACGTGTGTGGGTGATTAGATATTGTGTGAGTATGTTTAGACTACTTTGATCTAACTTTGTATATAAATAGGGTGTGTACAGGAACTCAAACAGAACGGTGTACACTTCTTCATCATTATCACCTCTTGTCTGCATAATTATGTTTACATAAATAATTTTATGCGTGTTAATAAAATTGTAGTAAAGTTGGTATCGGACCCAAATTCAATAAGATAATTTAAATCAATCAAAATATAAATGTTTCATTTCTATGGGACATAACTTTCACTGGTACGTGTAAATATAATCTGTAAATCAACATTAAGATCAATTAGGGTTACTTTTCCAGTTTCATCCTCTATAACTACTATGCGGAAGATGTCTGTATTTCTATTTTTAACCAGGTGTATGCAGACTCTGCATATTTCATAACATTTTACCCTCCACTATAATGATACTGTAACTCAGTTTGAAATTGCATCACCAAGGGATCACGCTTAATTAAAGATATCACTCCTTGATCTACCCAAATCCGGTTAGTCCTCTAGTTCTGCACTGTTCTCAACTGAACAGTGTTCAAATATAATTATCTATAAATTAGGGAAATCAATTATCACACTCAATAATGTCACCCGGCTGTAGAGGTTAGTGACGCATAGAAATTATACCTGTAAGCTAAAAATAGTGTGAGTAAATTTTATTAATTACTCGCATACCTCAAAAAACCCAAAATATGTCCCATTTAATTTCCTGAATCCTGATAATGTGTGAACAAATGGAGTCGGACACCGCTACTGAGTTACATCATATTATTTGATCATACCCCAACTCTTGGTTACCTTCACGATTAGGTCACAGATCAATATAGACTCTACCCACTGGGTAGTAGCCACTAGTGGACCTTTACCGATTGTTGAAATTCGACATGTAGCATCTAGCGTCATTTCACGCTACATGTCGAATTTCAACAATCAGTAAAGGTCCCCACTAGCCAGTTCCCAGTAAATGGTGAACAACTAGCTGACCAGCATTACAGTTACTTTTCCATAACATATTAACATGTAATCTAATTTCTTGGCACTACATCCTGAAAGTAGGGTGCCTCTACCTACCACTGGACACAACATTAAATTATACAGCACACTGTGCCCGTGTGTGTGGAAATGTTCTAGAAGATTACAATTTCTACAAACACTCACACTGTCGAGTGGTGTTTCGGAACATTTGTGAAGTTCTGTGGAACTATGACAAATATCTGGTTTTAACAATAAGTAAAACAGTGATAATGTAAAATAAAACAGTGATAATAAGTCGTATGTACTATGTTTCTCCTCCTCAGACTGTAAGTATTTAAGTTGCGTCACTACATTGACTAGCATATCTTACATAACGTGACAATAAAATATATCTAACTTTATTTAATGAAGCCTGAGTGTAGTTCCAATTCTTTGTGTTTCAAGTGTCATTCAGAGGACCTTGAAGTGGAGTGTACGTGTGTACGTGTAGCTATGCTCAAAAATATCCGATATTCTGATGATGACGCATGAAGAAGCACGAACAATGCCTAATTTTTAATATAATATCGCATATCTCGTATTTTGTCCGCCTGATCGAATTTTAAAAATGTTTTAAAACGAACTTGGACCTACTGTAAATAAATCTACATACATTCTGTAACTAAATCTCTCCTCTGATATTCAAATTGTGTGTTATTTCTCAATTAAGAAACCATTAAAGAAACCCGACTAAAAATAAAAAGACTGTGTGTAATAAAATAAGGATACGCTGTAATTTTCTATCGTGACTAAAATGTGCCTTATTAGAATATTACTAAAATAGTAAATACCCGATATATTACTGAAACAACTCCGCGGTCTCGTACCAAATTCTGACGATGAAAGTACCACACATTTTAACCGGTTCACTAAGCTGCAGACTACGGTAACTATTAACATTATTCACTGGTACCCCTTAGTAGGGGGTCCCTCTAAACCCACTGATTTGTTAGTTGTTTACAGTTGTTGTGAGCACAAGTAAGGACCGGACCGAAGGGTTGGCGACACAGAGCCTCAATATGGTAAGATACGTTAGTAGCGTGATATGAGGTGTGTTAAAAGTGTTGTGTCAGTAGAGCAGTGTGTGGAGTGCAGTGAAGCATCTTGTCTACGTTTTAGAGACGGCCAGATTTGCGTTTTAGATTTCAAGGTACCGACCGTCGTTAAAGTTAGCTTTAAAATACCGGCCTGATTAATGGGCTCTTATGACATGTCCCGATATAGCTGTGACATCATTAAGCATATTTGTTTACTTACTTTTACGTTTTTTCATGATTGTTATCCTTTTAATTCAATGTAAGCTCTATTGTAAGGCGTGAGCCTTTGTATAGGCTTATAGGGCGTTAACTGAATATCCAATTGTTTGCTCACATTATATAACTGTAGAGGAAATTCTCAGACAACTAACCTGTTTAAAATATTGATATATTTTAAAAGTTTGTTTTGGATTAACACAATTAAAATGACCCAAGACTTCCAAGAAAATATTTGAAGCGATGTATTCTCAATATTTGTGGTACGCCCCCATTTCTTGCCCCCCATTAATTGTGGCACGCTTGTCCTCATCAACATCTAGCTGTTCTAAAGTGGTTCAGTGTATGTGTTTGGTATAAAATTATTACAGTAGTTGCTATGAAGGTAAACCAATAACATTAGATCGTAAAGTAAATCATCGAAATACAATTAGGGGTTTTTGAAATTGTGACGCAGCTTGACCTAATTCCGGATTCCCTGCTCAATTCTCGATAATTGATTTCAATCATAGTTGTTAATAGCTTAAGTCAGAATGAGGTAGAATAATACTGGTAATATCTCAATAATTGGCAAATTAACATAATACGATGGGGGCGGGGGCAAGATTAATATTCGCCACAAAATTCGGGAAAACACCCCCTGGGAACCCCCATGGAGTTGTATTGACTGAAAGGCGCGAAAAAATTTGCGTAACATATTTCCACGCGTCACGCGCGTTCTTTTTATAAATTCTGTAGAATTGTCAGAAAAACCTGCATAGAGTGTGCAGCTTGCATTGCAGCGGCCAATCAGCTTTAAGTAACAACCGCATGATTCACAACTAAGTTTATTTGCATGCGAGAGAGCTCTCCAAGTTTCCCGCCGTGCACACCCTTTGATCACTTTTTAATCCACTTTCGGGGCGACTGATTGTGGTTGAACGTAGGTGTATACTCTGAAGAAATCCCAACCAAGCTGTTTATAACCTGCCCCACATGCCCACGTGTCAGATCGTGTCAAACTAATCAATTTTATAATATTTCAATTTTCAATAAACTTCCCGGCTCCCACCGACTACAATCTGAACGCAAGGTTATAACTCCTAGAACAGTCTCGAGCAGAACTTTGGTAAGCACGGCCAAGTTCCATTAGGGGTCTTTAGATTTTAGCAATGTTCCGTTATGCCACAAATCACGGATAAAAGCAACGGTCAAGTTACTTCGTAATGTTTGTTAATTTTGGCATTATTCCAGATGCTAACGAATGCAACACAAATAACGGTGGATGCGAACAAGATTGCAGTAATCATGACGGAGGTCACGAATGTGGCTGTTGGCTAGGATACGCTCTTAACACCACAGATAACACTTCCTGTGAAGGTTAGTGGTTTAACTTTATAACATCATTCAACTTTTTTAGCTATTGAGTAATAATGGTTAATAACTATTTCTTTGAATAAGTATTAAGTAAGTAGAGTTTAAAACTTTATCGTAATCTGTTATATTATTTTATGCTTGCATAATATACCATGAGGTAAACTTCTGCTAAATTCTCAGATGTGAACGAATGTGAAATCAGTAACGGAGCTTGTGAGCAAGATTGTAACAATTTGCCCGGCGGGTACTACTGTTCCTGCAGGAACGGCTTCTATCTTAATAGAAATCTGATGACTTGTGTGGATGTAAATGAGTGTGAAGATGGTTATAACGGAGGCTGTGAACAGATCTGTGACAATATTCCTGGCTCCAACACCTGTTCCTGCATGAACGGATACACTGAGCTGAATGCCACACATTGTCAAGGTAAGAGCGGTGTACACTTAATGTGTTAATTGATAGTTCCTGTTGAAAACACTCTTTTAATAATCTTGTTAAAGATGATAAGCACGCCCCTGACCGGTATCATCCGTTTAAAATCCTGAAACCTTACGTCTGCTCCACTTTAAAACGCCCTAATGATAACTTGGTTTAAAATATTAGTAACACTGAAAGCATGAGTTAATGTCACATCAGAGCCTGAAATATATAGGTGTCCACTATAGTCATAATACCCGCCCTTATTTCTATTTGAGTCTAAATTTATTCGATGACATATAAATGAGAATCTAAGTTAAGTTTGTCTGATCAATAGATTTATGGAACATCAGGCTTCCGTTCTGTTGAAACCATAGAATAACTCTGAAGGTTAGATAAACTCTTGAATTCCTTGAATAGACTTCAGTGAAAGGAAATCGCAGGGTCGTGTAATAAGTGGGGGTGGGGGGGGGGGGGGGGGGGGGTCCGCGCGATAAAAGTGAGATTCTAACCAATTTTGGTATCTCACTTGTTCACCTCTCACTTTACTTACTTTTATCTCATTCTGCTTTTCTATTCCTCATGTTCAGATACCGGACTCGCCCGGAGCAAGAAATACAATTAAATGGACAGAATACACGAATCTGCAAAATTATCAGTTTTAGTGAGAAAAGTGAAATTTCTAAAAAAGAACTTTCAAATCTCACTTTTTCACCTCTCATTTTATTGGACGAATTTGATACTGCCTACAAGTGGATTATTTTTGGTTCTTACGAATTGTTAAATAATATAAATCAGGTGAGTGATGAACAGTGTCTTGTCACGCCTCATTGAAGCCCATCTTAATTTCATTTGTCCAGACAAATACTATTCTTCATTATCGCTTTATTGGGAGGTTTATAGGGAGGACCCCTTTATTTATAGGAGTGAGCCCTGCTCATTTGTCATTGGTTTACTCGGATTAAACCGTCTCAAAAAGAAAACCTAAATATTCGAAACTCAACTGTCAAATGTCTTCCGTACTACACTAATGATGTTAAAATAAATATAGATTTTTGGTTTTGCAATTGACACCTATCGGATGAGCATTCCGCAGGTTACTAAAAGTGACAACGTGGCTGCTCAGTCCTGACAAGTCGGAATCTCAGTCCACGTCATTCCTGAGACACCATTGGTGTGAATGGCAGATACTCTCACCAGACCTTTCAAAATACTAAAATAAAACGCATAAGTCTGGGTTACCAAGCCAAGTCCTGTACGCCTGAGTGAGAGTTATGGACGGCATTATTCATATGATTTAAGAAGTGGGAAAGTTATTCACTCGTGCGTGCCAGTCACCAGATTGTCAGTGATAAAATTTTGGCACGGTGAAATATCATGTAAAAAATTCTTAGGAAATGTAGACATATTGGACGGAGAACGTGTCAAGCACATTAGTATCCAACATTTCTAAACATTGCGTTATTTCTGCTCATCTTGTATTAAAATCCTCAAATAAGTATTATTAAAAGATGTATCTCCCTTCAGATGTGAACGAATGCGAGCTGCAGATCCAGTGTATTGAAGGAGAATGTGAGAATTTGATAGGAAGTTACCAGTGTGTATGCGATGAGTATCACATGATCCACCCTACTAATCCCCACTTCTGTATCATGGGAGTGAGCTCTATTGCTGAGGAGAACGATACGGAGGAGAAGGACTTGTTCAGAGGTTTAACATGGAGCTACAACGACCCTATCTGTGGAGACCAGGTTAGCTCTCCAACTTTATTTTAGAATCTCAAAAAGAAATTCAGGCTGATCAGCAACTAACGTCCGATTTGATCAAGATGAATTTCTCAACTGATAAAATAATGTTCAGGATCTGCACGGAGAGCCAGGTATGATAACGTCCCCCCACTACCCCGCATATTACCCAACCAATACTGAGTGTTCCTGGTTACTTTCTGGAAAAGAAGATGAACGAGTTGAGATAACTCTCCTTAGTTTTGATGTAGAGCGTGTCCGTTATTGTGGGTACGTACTACTGCTCATTCCAATCCATGGTAACATTCTTTATCGCTTTTCTTTCTTATAGTAAAAATGTATTTTTACCCTAAAATTAGAAAACCTGTTCGTAAATTTGTTTTTTCTTGCAGTTTCGATTCACTGAGGATATACGACGGATCGAGTCAAAGTGACAGGTATCTTGCTAACCTGTGTGGAAGGATTAAAAATAGGTTCAGGCTTAAGTCTAGCGGCTCCAATCTCTTGCTCAAGTTCAAAAGTGACATGATAGGTACCCGACCTGGTTTCAGAGCTGCTGTCGACTTTATTTGGGGTAAGTTTTGTGTGCTATAGTCCTTTTAAGTATACCAATTAACCTATTACTAAACCATGTTAATTTATTGTTTTAACACCATACATATTGATCATATCCATTCTATATTTATCTACAAACTTTTGCTGAAAACAAAAAACAATTTTGTTGGATAAAAGATGTCCGGTTACCTTCTGATTTCCTCACCTTATAAAATATTTTACCTTTTTCAGTTGACAAGTCCGGAGGAAAGTACGTAACAGGTCGACAGAGTCGTCCCTTATCCTGGAAATCACAAGACAATACCCAATGCATGTGGACCCTGACGGCGCCCGAGGGCAGCAGCATTTTTCTCAACTTCATCAAATTCAAGATGTTCGGCAGTGGTTGGTCCAGTTCATGTACAGTAGAAGATGCAGTGGAGATTTACGACACAAAAGAGCGTACCCTGATAGCACGGTATTGTAGAAGTAGTCTACCTCCAAAGTTGTACATTGCTCACCACTCTAAGATAACAATAGTTGCCCGGGCACTCTCCGACTCTACCACCATGGACTTACTGCTCCTACACAGTGCAACTAGTCTCAAATACGTGTAGGTTCCCTGCTCTGGTGTTACCCACCACAATGACGCCACCACTAGGTAAATAGGTTGTATTTTAATTTAACGCACGTGTTACGTGACGTCACACCACGTGACATGACGTCACACCACGTGAGATGACGTCACGCGAGTTACGTGAGCTGAAGATCTGAAGTGATCCGCTCTATGACCTCTCCCTTCTGTCCCCGAGAAGAACAGATGAGGAATTTGTAGCTTCAAGTTCAATCAAGAGAGTAGAGACCTCCGACAAAACAGAACTGTAGATATTATTGTGAACATTGAATTAACTTATTTTGGCTGAGATGTTGAGTAATTATTTAAATCCTTAAAACTGAAAGGAACGGGTTGCTTTATGTAATAACTAAAACTCTTAAAGTTCAAAATTTTGTACTACTTTATACTGTTAACGGTTTATACGATTTAAACGGTTTTAAACTTGTCCTATATATCGTCAACAAAACCTTTGTACATGTTATTTTATTTAACGCTATATTTTTCTATTTCTAATTTCTATTTTACCATTTATAAAAGATTTCTAATATTTTGATAACGCTATTCTGTATGATAAATGTACGAAATTTGAAATGCCAAATGAATTTTGTTCCTTTTTTATTACATTATCAAATATCCGTGTATCGTTTTTTCCGGTTTAGTTCTACAGAAAAGGTTTAGTTCTGCCGAAATGAAAGCGTATATAAATATATACTATATAGTTCTTCCGAACAGCTTTCGCCTCCGATAAAAAAGCTAAATGAGATCGACAATTCGATTTCATTACCTTTCTGATCACGGAAAATATATTTGCAGTTTTAGTTTCTGAAAAGCTTCTATTTAAAAATATTCCAAAATATCTCCTTCTATTCTGATGATTTTCTGTTTATCAAAGCTTATTATGATTATCATCCTGACATGGCACGTGACTGGACCCCGTGTTGATGCATTGCTTGCACAACTTCAAGTTAAATGGAATAGGATAATCAAATGTTTGTTTATAGTTCCTAGATCCATGTATAAGATTTTAGAACCAGACTGGTTGTTCCCGGTCATAACGAAAAGTCTAAGAGTCCCAAGGTCATTATTGCCATGTTACAATTTTTAAGGAGCACTTCTTTTAACCATTTGAACCAGTACACAGTTCAATATTAAATAGGGTTTATCATGTGCCAGACAAGAAAAAAGATAAAAGATGGCAAATTATATTGATCACTTTCATTATTCTTGTAATTTACATTATCATCACTAGCAGAAAGGTGAAAGCCCGTTCTCCTTTATTCTTCATCTTGTTAGGTACATTAATTCTTCCCATATCTATCACATTCCCTAGCTAGAGGTCTGAAATCTGCGATTTCAGACCTCTAGAGAAATAACACTGAAAGCTTGATTACTAGATTCGATATTAATCATTAATACGATTTCCCCTCGTAATTTCTGGCACGTCCATTCCTTCTGTCACGTTTTGCTCACTGCATTTTTTGATAACTTTTTCTCCTTCTGATTCACTTACATATAAATTAAAATACTATCACTGTCTGTTTCTGCCACATCCATCCAACATTTCAACATTCATTTATATCCATCTAACATTTGTAAATCACGATGTTGACGGATAATGCGGTAAAACGTTTTAATTTTCCCAAACATTATTTTACTTTATTTGTAAATTGCCCTTGTACACGGTTTTACTTTAGAAGCATAGAATTGTTACAAATTACCAAAATGATGTGGCTCATAAGCGTGAAATTAGAAACATCTTAACGGGTGATACTCGTAAAATATTTGTTCCAAATATTAGGACCGTCGACGAGTCCAACTCGGCGCGCGTCCTGGTAGGTTATAAACCTACAAGAAACATCGAGATGTTGTAATATTGTGATGATATAGCCTATAATCTACCATGCACAGGTTCCCACAAGACTATAATCTTTTTTTTATAGATTATTGGCCAGTAACTCAGGATGTCTGACGCAGTGTCCCGTCACTTTTAATCTCCTGCTTCGTAACTTGTTTGACAGCTTTGGTAGGCTACCATACAGTGCAAGATTCCTGGCCTAGTGGCTATTCGGAGTTATTCCATGCACCATACGCAACATCTTTTTTTTTCTTTGGTTTAGTTTCACTGAAATGGAAGTGTGTAAAATACTAATATAATAAACCTGTTGCCTTGACCTGATTGAACTTATGTAGTATCTAGCACGACATCACCTACATTCCTCATTATATTAGTACACAGGGGTGTAAGAAGAAGGGGGGGGGGGCCATCGCCTCCCATAAAATCTGGGCAAGGGGCCAAAAAGGGCCAACTTTTTAATTTAGGTTTCGAAAATTTTTGGGGAAACAAAATTTTTTTGGGTTTTTTACCGAAATTTTTCTAAGTCACAATTTTTCAAAGTTTTTCTGGAAACTTCTTTTGTTCATGTTTCATGCTACCCTGATCATAATGAGCCTAAAATATTTTTTCGGTTTTTGAAGTCCGCACCTACCCCTTCGATATACGATTTTGGACTCGAGGGTTCCCCTTAAGTTTAACCCCTTTGTAATGAGATCTCGGAAGGCAGGCCTTTGCAATACGAACTCGGAAGCGAAATCATCCCTACACCCCATGAAGAAAATCATTCCTACACCCTTGTTAGTACACATATTTCCTAGTCTTAATTTGCAAATTGATTGCTTGATTCAATTTTCATCTGATTTCTTTCTTAATTCCCCGTCACGTCCATCTTTGTCACGCACCGCCTCTAGATTCCTCACATTTTTTGATTACATGGTACTTTTTAAAATCTGCTACAGATATTGATAAATACCAGAATCACTATCAGTTTCTGCCACATAGTCAGCACTGATGAATGAGGCAATCATCCCCTAATAGTAATAGGTTTGCCCATGCCCTGAGAATATTTCCCAAAAACTAAAAGATTGTGTCTCTAAGAGTAAGTCTCCAATATGCAATATGTCTCTATTTCTAAGGCTATTTCTTTGCTCTAAGTTGTAAGTCTAGACGCCAGATAATGTGGAAAAATGTTTCAATTTTCTCGAAAATTGTTATATTTTATTTTTATCATTATGCTGTACTGCCCTTGCACACGATTTTACTTTTGAAGCATAGAATTGATACCAATTACTAAAATGAAATGGCTCACAAGCGTCAAACTAGAAACGTCGAGAAGTTGGACAAGGTACGTACAGGGAAACTGGGAAACAGTAGAGAAGCTTCTATTTTAAAAATTAAAATATTCCAAAATGTATCCTTGTTGCTCTTATTTAGCCATTATCGAACAGTATATAAAATATCTTCACAATTAAGGGGGGGGGGGACAATGGGTATTTTTTTGTGAAACTTGATTTCGAGATAGCGGTTGACCAACAAACTACGACCAGTGACCGAACTTTTGAGGGGGTCCCGGACCCCAACTGCCAAACGGTGCCCGCGGGGCAGTCACGCCCATATTTGGTCCAAATTAGGCCCAATTTAGCCAAATACCCTGAACATGCCCAAAACCCAGGTTTGAGGTGCTTTACTTGTAGCTTGTGGTCTCCTGAACTCGTATATGAAATTTCGTCAAGATTGGACAAAAAAAGACTGAGTTATGAGCCAAAAACCATATGCCCATATTTGGGCATACGCATCAAATTTGGTAGATTTCGTCCTATAAATTGGTCAAATATCAAGATTTTTGAATGAGACTTACTTTATATAAAAGGTAAGTCTAAACTACATATTCTCTGTAAGTTATAGCTTTATATCTATTTAAATGTGGATACTAAGATTAAGACGAAAATACCCACATATTTTAGTAATTGGTTTTATCCAATTACAGTGAGCACATTCCGGAAGAAGGATTCCGGAAATCGTATGAAAACAAGCCAAGAATCAATATTTGCCGCAATCAGACAACACTAACGAATGAAGGTTAAACTTTCAATAAAATCTCTTTAACATCGATAGAAATTAGAATATTTTCTTTATTCGCCAGTTTTTGGATAAAAAGGTGCTCGTTGACTTCTAAATTACATTTACAAAGGCTTGAATTTGTAATATATATATAAGGATGAAAATCAGATCCATTACAAAGTTTATGTTGGTCTATAATAAGGTGTGCTGCTAAAAAAAAGTGTCGATAGATCATCTTTAATGTTTAAGTTTAAGAAAATCATCACTTCCACTACTTTAGTAGATTTTAACTCTCTACTATAATTCAGAGAATTATTTCTGATGTAGAATGTAGAATGTATGTACGACCGCCCACGTGCAAATTAAATGAAAAATAGGAATTTAGGTAACAACCAAAACGTTCCATAGCAACGGTGTTTTAATGCACACATGCACGTGCAAAGATTGTTTTAACGTCATTTTGATCGGTTTTGTGGTAATTACGTTGTGTTCAAAGTGTTTTATATTTAATTCGTCTGTATCTTCGGTTGGGATGGATATTTTTTGATGCGATTAAAACTTTCTCTCAAAGAATACTACTAGCTTCGTCCCTGTTACTATACCACGGGCTTTCTAGTTTATTTATAAAATTAAAATTATAAAAATTGTTTAGTGAAAACAGGAACCTACTAATAAGTAGTACTTACAGTTACAGTTACACGTAGCGATAAAAGGGCAAGTTGCCACAAAAGAAATTTGTATCAGCGCTGATAATCGCTAATTAAGCGCTTTTTAAAAAATCCGTTTATAATCGCTTCTTTATCGATTATAAGCGGTTCAAAAAAATCGCTTATAGGCGATTATAATCGCTGTAATAATACAAAAAAAGCGATTATAATTTTCTAAAAGCGCTTATAGTTATAACTTTATTATCATCGTTTTTAGCGATTCGAAAGCGATTTTCCAGTATTATAGTAGGATTGGCGATTATAAGCGGTGGAAAAGCGATCGGCCAGATAACAGATAAGCGATTCGTAGTCGTTTTCTCGAACCATTTATAAACGATTATAATCACTTATAAGTTTACTGGGCGGTGCTCAGCCTGTCATTCCGCCTAATCTCTATGTTCATTATTATGAACATGATAGCCTAAGGTAGGGGGTGCACGATAAAAATAAACTTGCTCGGATTTTAAAAATTTTTGTACCACTGTTTTCTAGAGACTGTGAGAATTTTCACAATACCAAATTTGTTATACCTTTTTGGAAAGATCAGTGAGTTTTGCTGTAAAAATTTGCGGAACTGAAGGTTTCATGCTATTACTTGAAACTGTCCTTTTATGTCCCGTTTTGGTGATTAACCAATATTTACTGCTTTCTCCTGGAATCCAGCTACATAGAACTCTGAGTGGAGTTGGGTTAAAAACATATAAGAGATACGATGATTTAACTTGTAGAAGCTTTCAATAAACATGTGTTAATCGTCGTCAGCTGAATGTGATGTGGTGGACAATGCTTATATGTGATTGAGTGGTGTCAGGGATGGAGGGTGGGGGAGGTGTGGGTGGGAAAGTGAAAATTACAGTACAATGTCAAGAAAAATTTAGTCTTCTGTTGAGGTTGAGAAGGAAATGCCAGATGGTCTGGACTTTAAGGATTTGGCAATTTTAGGAAGAATGGGGTCCCAGAGGGAACTACATTTGGGTGCGCGGTCTGTTCTGTTCATAGCTGGTTGTCGTATTTGTATAGCTGCGTGTTCTGTGAGGTCAAGTTGGGAGCGTGAGGTGAGGGATTTGAGGACTTCGATGTTGTTCCAGGAGATGGTGTGGCCGGTGGTCAGGGCATGATGTGCAGGGGCTGATTTGATTCTGTCTGTGGATTCGTCGATGGCGTTGTTGAGTCTGTAACATCGTTCGTGTTCTTTCATGCGGTGGACCAAGGGTCTGTAGGTCTGTCCGGCGTATTTGGAGGGGCACTGTGAGCAGGAAATTTCGTAGATGGTGTTGGGAGT